CATTAACTACCATCACCACCATGTTATTCTATAATTAGAGCTGATTATTTACCTCCCCCAAAACAGACCATCAAAGCTAATTCCATTGTTCTGTATAATTCCTTATTTTTAAGTGTCATTCTTGCTCTTCAGTGCTGTTTTTAGTTCCTTGTCCCCACTTTTCATGTCAATAGATTTTATCAGTGGCTGCATCTTGTTGCAATTGTACTAAACTCCCTCATTCACTATGTATTGTATGTGTGTGTGTGTGTGTATGTATGTATGTATGTATGTGTGTATGTATGTATTTAGAGAGAAGGTATCATTCTGACACCCAGGATGGAGTAGAGTGGTATGATCAAGGCTCACTGCAACCTCTATTTTCCGGACTCAGGTGATTCTCTCACCTCACCCTCCCAAGTAGCTGGGACAACACATTCAACACCATGCTCGGTGAATTTTCATATTTTTTGTAGAGACTGAGTTTTGCCATGTTGCCCAGACTGGTCTTGAACTCCTGGGCTCAAGCAGTCCCTCCGATTTGGCCTCCCAAAGTGCTGGGATTACAGGCATGAGCCATCGTGCTCAGCCCCCTCATTCATTTTAAATACTGTTTTTATTTCCACTATTGTTAATCATTTTGGCATGGCCCATATCCACACAGATAGCTCCATGGCCTCCAGAATTCCATGACCTCCACTGATCCTTCATACTACTTTAAACCTTTTATTTATCGATAACTGTATCAACTCCCAGATTTCAGTTTCAAGCATCCAGTTCTCTGACCACCACTGATTCTCTTTCCAGCTTACTCCCTCTAATAGTGGAGCCAACAATTTTGGGACAATCATCAGGACCTCCATTCCTTCATTTCACTAAATGTTGTTATCTGTCTTCCTCATGATGTCTTGGGTTCCATGGTCTGTTAATATAATCACCTTTTTCCAACCTCTGTCATGTTCTGCCCAATTAAACCAATATTTTACCTACTTTTACCTAAATAGCCAGATAAAGGTAGTTTCACTTTAGATATTTATGGCCCCAAGTCTTCAGTGCTTCTTAGTTAATTCATTCTCAACCTTTTTTCCTAACCTTGAAACCTGTTTTTTCAGTTGATGGTATTGGTTTTACTAAAAAAACAAAACAAGCAGAAAAGAGACTTTATCAGCAAATCTAGATGCCTGAAATAGTAATGTTAGTAGAGTGTTGGGAGCAGAAGGTGACCTTTCAGAGACTAAATTGTGAGTAGGTCGTAAGGAGCTAGAGACTGATGTTTTCCCAGGTGTGTCACTGAAACACTGGCTTTTTAAAATGAATCTTGCCCCATAATAGGTTTAGTGGCTAAATTTCAGAAATTCTGAAAGCTGTATATAGTTTGAATCTCTCTTTCCCTCTGTCTTTTATGTTCTGATAGAGGCAAGGAAAGATGAAAAGTTACAGGTAGGGAAGTAAGTTTCCATCTGCTGGCCTAGATGTTACTGAAGCATTGGTTCAAACTTTAGCCTACTTCAGTATAACTTGGAAGACTTGATGAAACAGATTGCTTGGTTCCACCTAGAGGGACTGATTTCACACGTCTTGGGTGGCTCCTGAAAATTTGCATTTCCAACAAGTTCTTAGGTGACACTGATGTTGCTTGCTGATTTAAGGAATTGAGAATCACATATTGAGAGTCATTTCACTTGAGTAAGAATTCAACTGCCAAGAGTGTGGAGAATGGTTAGGATTTTGAGCTGTAAATATAGGAAATAGCTGCTGTGGGGCAATATAATAGGAAATTAAAGCTGATTAATAACTTTGAGGAACTTTGACAGTGAGATATTTTGAATTTGTAGAGGACCCAAGCAGCTATTTTTAATGACTTTCTCTAGCAGTGTGACCTGTCAGAGAGCAGGTGCAGAACCACAGCAGTTAGTATGCAGTTTAGAGGAAATCCTACAATCTGCTTATGTCAAACAGTTTACCATCAAGCACTCCATCTTTGCTTTGCATTACCATTATGAGTGCCAAGATGGCAGCTCTACGGTCTGTCTGCCCTTAGCCTATCGGCTTCATTTTATTTATTTGTATGCTTATTATTTATTATTCATTTATTAATTTTAGTTTTAAAAGTTGTATATGGCAGAAGTTTTAGAAAGTAGAGACTAAAGTGTTGAAGTAATTCTGTCAAGTACAGTCAATAGTTCCATGTCTTTGGGCAAATAACTACCACGTCTCTTGTTTCCTCATTTGGGATGTTTTAAAATAGAAGAATTAAAAACTTGCAGTCCTCCATTTATGAACGTAATTGACACATCTTTAAAAATCTTAAAGAATTACAGTTCTGCAAGAATCATTAGTTAGGTTTCTGCCTGAGCAGAGTCCCATGTAGTTCTTTTTAAGTGGCTAAAAACTAATTGGACAAGCTGGGTCTCTTTAAGGTTTGTGGTATTTCCAGCAGTAAGTTGCCCTACTGTTCCTGGGTGTCTGTTTTTCTCAGGCTTTGACACTGAAATGTCTTCATAATGGATTATGCCTTATTCTAGTCCTCACTCGTGTCAACTGTCACTTCCAAAATGACTTTTTAGTGTCTGTACTGAGCCTGAAATAGGAAGGAACCGCAAGAAATATTTTGAAACATGTTTGGGGACATGGTAGGAGAGAAGGGCAGGTACTTTTTCCTCTGCCTTCTCTTATATCTCCTATAGTTAGTTCAGTGAGCAAGTAAGACTGAGAAGTATGCTTTTCCTTCTCCCATGTCTTAATATTTGTCAGGGTTTTTGAAACCAGATACTGTGTTCTTTTCATAGTGTTGTAATTGCTTATTCTTTAAATTAATATAATCTTGGAAACTTGTGGATTTGTTTTTGATAACTTTGCTGAGGAATAACTGATAACTTGTACATATTTAATTGATAATGTGTCCATAAAGTATACAGTTTGATGAGTTTTGACATTATCTATATACCATGAAACCACTACCGCAATAACAAGAGAGCATCCATTTTCATTGTGCAACCCTTTGTAATGAATCCACTGGTCTGCTTTTCCTCACTGTAGACAGGTTTACGTTAAAGATTTAAATGAATGGAAATACATTGTATATACGTTTTGGTGGGGAGGGGGGTGCACATAATCTTGAGGTTTATTCATGTTTCTTGTATTAATGGTTTGCTCCTTTTAATTGCTGAATAATATGCTTCTGTGGATTTTCTGCCATTTTTTTATTCACTTGTTTATGGACAATGGGTTATTTCCAGTTTGGGGTTATTATCAAAGCTGCTGTAAATATTCATGTACAGTCTGAGTGTGGACAAGTGCTTTTATTTTTCTTGGATAAATACCTAGAAGTAGAATGGCTAAGTTCACATGCCATGTCTACGTTTAACTCTTAAGAAACTGCCACATGTTTTCCAAAGTGCTTATACCATTTTATATTCTAAAGAGTTCCGGCCATTCTGCATTGTTACCAGCACATTGTGTGCTCACAATTTTGTTTTTAGCTTTTCTAGTGGTGTCTATGCATGTTTATCTTGGGAGTCTCAGTGTCTTTTTTTTTTTTTTTTTTTTAAATGGAGTTTTACTTTTGTCGCCCAAGCTGGAGTGCAATGACATGATCTTGGCTCACTGCAACCTCTGCCTCCTGGGTTCAAGCGATTCTCCATACTCAGCCTCCCGAGTAGCTGGGATTACAGGTGTGCGCCACTGTGCCTGGCTAATTTTTTTGTATTTTTAGTGGAGACAGGATTTCACCATTTTGGCCAGGCTACTCTTGAACTCCTGACCTCAGGTGATCCACCTTCTTCGTCCTCCCAGAGTTATGGGATTACAGGCACGAGGCACTGCACCTGGCCTCAATATTGTTTTAATTTGCATTTTATACATGACTGATGACAGTGGGCTGCTTATATCTTTGGTGAAGTGTCTGTTCAGATCTTTTGCCCCCTCTTTTAACAAGTGTTGGTTGGGCATGGTGGGTCACGCCTGTAATTCCTACCACTTTGGGAGGCTGAGGTGGGCGGATCGCTTGAGCCCTGAGTTTGAGACCAGCCTGGGCAACATGGTGAAACCTTGTCTCTACAAAAAAATACAAACAATTAGTCACATGTGGTGCTGCAGTCCTGTAGTCCCAGCTTACTCAGGAGGCTGAGATGGAGGATGGCTTGAGCATAGAAGGTGGAGGTTACAAATAAGCTGAGATTACACCACTGCACTCCAACCTGGGCAATAGAGCCAGACCTTTTCTCAACAACAAACCAGAAGAAAACCCCAAACAAGTGTTGGGTTATCTGTCTTTTATAATTGGGTTGTAGTAGTTCTTTATATATTCCAGTTTCAGTTTCTTAAACATTTTGCTAGTATTTTTATCAGTTGGAGTCTTGTTTTTTCATTTTTTAAGTTTTTTTGAAGAATAATTTTTGATGAAGTCTGTAAGTTTTTCTCTTTATAGTTCTTTTTGTGCTATTTTATTTTATTTCTCTTGGTTTTTCTGAAAGTTAAATATCTCAGATTCTCATTTTTAAGCTATTGGACAAAAAAATCGTAGGAGACAACTGTAAAGCTAATAGTGTATCTGCCTTATATTTGTGTTTATTGTTACAGTTTTGCAGTACATTGTTTATGATTCTAGTGTTTTTGTGTTGTTTTAGACTTGTTAGACTTGTTAAAAAGCCTGTAAAATTGTTACTGGTTCAGTTCCTTTGTTTTGTGAGTAAAAGAACTGAGGTTTATATAGGTTACAAGACTTTGCTACTGGTTAAGGTTTATGTTTCCACGAAGACCAAAAAAGGCCCAGGTTCTCTCAAATCCCATTTCACTGTTCATTTCCCTTTTTAAATGATTCTGTTGCTAAAAATTTACTATATACTGCAACATATTAAAAATAAATTTAGTTTATTTCTTATTAATAGTATCCTCATTGAATGCATATTATTAAAATTATTATGTAGATTAGCTTCCTGAAAGAATCATTATTTCCCCTTAAAATTTTACTAAGTGAAGATGTTGAATTTAACATATATATTTTTTAATTCTTTCCAAAGGTCTGTAAACAGATTTGGCTAGGATTGTTTGATGATAGATCTTCAGCAATTCCAGACTTCAGGGATCCACAAAAAGTGAAAGAGTTTCTGCAAGAAAAATATGAAAAGAAAAGATGGTGAGTGAATAGTTTTTATGTAGAAAAAAGCCTCCCCAAATCACATTAACTATGGATAAGGTTAGTCTGACACAATGAAGGATAAAAGACAGACAGTGAGAACTAGATAAGTATATAATTCATTATCCCTTGGCTTTTTGTTGATTTGATTTCCAAAAACCTTTACTTCTACTTTATCTTAACTCATCTGTGCTGGCAGCAGCCTTTTTTAAAATAATAATTACCAGGAAAGTTAGGGATTCTTCCTTCTACTCATTCCCTGTTAGCTTCTTTAAATGTATTTTTTCCTACAAAGTCTCCATTCTTAAAAATCATTAATTTAGCAAGTATTTATTGAGTCATATCTTTTTTTTAATTTGTTGAGTAGCATCTTCTATATACTAGGCACTGTGCTAAAGCTCTGGTGTAGTAATCCATCTACCTAGTTTTCTGTTGTAGTCTTCACTCAAAATATTTTTTTCTTTCTACCTAAGAAATCAGTTTACTTCCTGGTTAAGAAGGGAGTATTTATATTTCCCTAACTAAATCTGTTGGATGTTAATTTTTAAAAATTAATTCCAACAGTTTGTTCATTTAGCTAGTAAGCCCCTTACAGTGGAATAGGGACTATATACATAAAGCTCTAGTGTTCATCTACTCAGGGCTTTTCATTTTCAGCTATATGAGCACAATATAAGTATAGTTACTAAGACTCTTTACTATGAACTCTTGGTTGTTTCTTTAATAGTATTGAATAACGGATATTTCATCTTGGGAGCTGAAGAAGATGGGGCAGAGAGTCAAAATAGGGGGCATATAATGGGGAAGTAACAGGCCTCTTGTTTGCCTCAGAAATTGTTTCAACCCAGAGAATATGTTCAGAGCCTGTTTTGGTCCTGAGAGAACATTTGACGTGGTTTACGGTAGAGGTCTTTGCCTTCATTCAGGAGCACATTAGCTCTGACTTGCATGCTCTATCAAAATTTCTATTCTTACTGCTTTCCAAAATAGACTACTTTTTTTTTTTTTTTTTTTTTTTTTTTTTTTAAGGAGACTGAGTTTTGCTCTTGTTGCCCAGACTGGAGTGTAGTGGCACGATCTCTGCTAACCACAACCTCCGCCTCCCGGGTTCAAGTGATTCTCATGCCTCAGCTTACCAAGTATCCAAGATAATAGGTGCCCACCACCATGCCTGGCTAAGTTTTTATATTTCTAGTGGATACGGGAGATGGGATTTTGCCACGTTGGCCAGGCTAGTCTTAAACTCCTGACCTCGGGTGATCTGCCCGCCTCAGCCTCCCAAAGTGCTGGGATTACAGGTGTGTGATCCACTGTGCCCGGCCTAAAATAGACTACTTTTTGCAAGGCAAGGTTAGTCAGGGCTATATTCAGCTACACCAGAAGACATCAGGTATGAAAATAGATTAAAATACACCAGTAAAACATAAGTTTAGGAAAGAAGAGAATATTAGGAGGTGGGTTGATAGTAAAAATGTGGTAGCATAAATGATTCTTTTAACATGAAAGGTATAATTATCCTTTTATAGTTTTGGTTCTGAATTTCCTAGACATTCCATCCTGTAGGAAAGACTGTTCTCATTGTGTAGCCCTAACCTAGTTTTGTTTTTTCAGCTGTGTTACTTTTACCAATTCAGAAAGTGAGTTTGGTTAGGGATTAGCTTATGGTCAGCTCTAGCTATCAGGAGAAAAATGAGCATCAGTAATATTTGGTAGAACTAAAATCAGAGATCCTTACCCTCACATTTATAACAGTGATGTATTATTCATTTAAACTATAACCCAAGTACCTGGAAACCTCAAGTAATTATAATTTATGTGTTTTTTTTCTTCCCTGAGAAACAGGATAATAACAGTAATACAAATACAGACTTTACGTGGTGGGACAGGTAACCATCATTAAGAAGTCCAGAACCTGTATGTTTTTAATGCAGACTCCTGCACACCTGTAACATATAGCTAGAGAGCAGTGAAATTGGTTTCTAACATGGAATAAGCACTAGCCAGATGCTGTCTCCCTAAAAATACTCACCGTAACTGTACTTAAAACAGTGATGCTGTTGTTCTCCATAGGGATTTTGAAATTGTTCTTTTGACTAGTTCTCAAAAGCACTTTCTGTGTTAAACAAGATTATTTACTGTGTCAAGTCAGTCTTGAACCAATAACTGTCATCTGATTTTATCCTTTGATAAGACTTGGCTATATCAGTAGTGTGCTAAATTATGGGAAAGTATAACTTCTTGTATTCATTCTCATATCTCTTGTCTCTTCCATTTACTTAAAAAAAGCAGTTGCATTGTTTGTGACTATTATGTAGTTTGGTGACAACACTTATGTAGTTAACAAATACCTATACTAGGAATGTGTTCTCAGTGCTTTACAAATGTTAACTTATTTAAACCTCACGGCAACTCTGTCTCTCCATTTTATCAGAAAATAGAAGCGCAAAGAGTTAAAGTATTAATAGTTTACCCAAGGTTTCACAGCCATTTAGTGGTAGAGCTGGGATTTGAACTGTTTCTGGAACAGGTGCTCTTAAACATGGTTTTCTTTCTTTCCTCACCTACTTCATATGGGGAATAAAAAGAAGGGTAGGACAAAACCCGGAATTACAAAGAGCAAAAGCTCTCACATAATCCCACACCTAGAGGTCACCATTGCCGATGTTTGGACATTATTATATCCTTGTTGCCTCTTTCTTGACTTGCCTACTCACATAAATCATGTATTTACATGATTGGAATTAAACCTGCAAGAACTGCGAAGTTTTATCTTTCCACATCAAAGCAGAGTAGCTATGAGTATTGTATTACAGTGATTTTTGGCATAATCCCTTTAAATATTTTTCTCTTGATAGACGTTGAGTTTCCCAGTTTTTTTGAAATGATAAAGAGAGGACTGTGTACATGTATCTATTTACTTATCAATTCTTAAGGATAAGTTTCTGGAAGTGATACTTCTGGTACACAAAGCACACTTATTTATTTATTTTAGTAGGTAGCAATACAAAATTTGTGAAGATCACACTTAGCTCATAGGTGAATAAAGCCTTAATTTGCATTTTTGTTAAGTTAAAAGTGTTTTTATTTCTATGTCTTTCTATGAATTGCTTCTTTTGTTCATTTAAAATGGGATGATCTTATTCTAAGCCTTTATATTTTAGGCTAACTGTAATATCACCAGTGTTTCCCTAGCTGTAATATTACCAGTGTTTTCCTACCTCATCTGTCTTAAAGTCATTTATGATCTAAGATAATTTTTAAAATTATACTATTAACTATTCATTGCGATGATTAATTGTAGGTCCTCTGTTAAAAGCAGTTATTTCTTATATTATGCTTAATATCTTAGAAAAGCTATAAATAAGTAATTGAAACGAGTTTTTTGGTTAATATTCTTTTTCTCTGAGTATTTCAGTTATTTAATGGGTGTTGTCTTAAGCTATTGTTTCTTTTTAAAAAAAATAGGTATCAGTTCTGTGTGAGAGGGTTTTCAGATAAAGAGTAATGGTGAAACAGTCTCGTACAAAGTTAGAATTAAGCTTATCATTTTTTGTTACAGAATTACCTACATTTTTCTTAGTTAACTGGTTTTTACATATTTTAGGTATGTCCCACCAGAACAGGCCAAAGTCGTGGCATCAGTTCATGCATCTATTTCAGGGTCCTCTGCCAGTAGCACAAGCAGCACACCTGAGGTCAAACCACTGAAATCTCTCTTAGGGGATTCTGCCCCAACACTGCACTTAAATAAGGGCACACCTAGTCAGGTGAGTAGTCTTTGAATCTTTGCAGGGAGTTCAACTTAAGGGGGCTTGAGTATCAAGAATTTGAGAATTCTTTAAGATAGCAGCATAACCTTTATGCCAGTAGCATTATGTTCCAGTGGTTTATTATACATTAAGAAATTGTAGGTTAAGTGGTTGAAATGGATTTATGTTTGTTCTTGTTGCTGTTGCTAATATGAGTTTCTTTGACTTCTCTGCATCTTTGAAAAGGTGAATTCTACAGGAATGTTGCTATAGCTATGTGTGTGTATGTATGTATATATGCAGTTAGTAAAACATGAATCTGTGGTGACTATCAGAGTTAAAACATAAAGTCTCTGTGATACACTTTTCTAGGAAGGGATTTCTTTAGTAGTGCAATTTTCCTACATGTGTGATGTGAAGCATTTTGATCATTAAAACACAGGGGGCTTTGCATTATACCTTATTCTTAGAAATGAACAAAATGGAGTTTTTTCATAAGTTGCTACCTAAAGTTTGTACTTTATTATAGTTGTGTGGGGCTGTGACAGATCTGTTACTGTATAGTATTGCAGCCTCTATCCTTTACAAGAATGGTTCAGAAACATAGTACTATGGATTGAATCCTTTTTGATAACACATACTAGAACATTTGAATAAATTTCTCTGTTTTCACAATAGGTTTGAGTGAAAAATGAGAAAGGTTAACAGTATACTGTAACTCTTCCTATGTATAAATGTGTTTTAAGTTTAGAGAGAGTTTTGTATAAAGATTTGCAGATCTGACTGGAATATCTTTTTAGTTAGTATGTGGTTTATAGTCCCCAGTTGTAGGTCGTTCTCAAGGGCAGCAGCAGGAGAAGAAGCAGTTTGACCTGTTAAGTGACCTTGGCTCAGACATCTTTGCTGCTCCACCTCCTCAGTCAACAGCTACAGCCAATTTTGCTAACTTTGCACATTTCAACAGTCATGCAGGTAAGTGTTTTTTCTCAACAACTTTTGCTGGGGAATGTATATAAAGCACCAAGAAACATTACTTCTTTATCACACTTTAAATATCAGTAAACATTTTTTTTGAGAATGTTTCTGTCAGTTGTTGGCATGACCTGTTTTTGTGGAAAAATGGGGAAAGGATATAATGTCTATAATCTCACTCTCTCGCCCAGGCTGGAGTGCAGTGGTGAGATCTTACTGCAACCTTTGTCTCCTGGGTTCAAGGGATTCTCCCACCTCAGCCTCTCAAGTAGCTGGGATTACAAGCATGCACCACAGCACCCGCAAATTTTGTACTTTTAGTAGAGATGGGGTTTCACCATGTTGGCCAGGCTGGTCTGGAACTCCTGACCTTCAGTGATCTTCCCACCTCAGCCTCCCAAACTGCTTTTTTTTTTTTTATTTTTTTTAAAGTTGGAGTCTCACACTCTCGCCCTCACTGGAGTGCACTGGTGTGATCTTGGCTCACTGCAACCTCTGCCTCCTGGGTTTAGGCACTTCTCCTGCCTCAGCCTCCTGAGTAAGTGGGACCACAGGTGCCTACCACCACGCCTGGATGATTTTTGTGTTTTTAGTAGAGAAATGGGGTTTTACCATGTTGACCCGGCTGGTCTTGAACTCTTGACCTCAGGTGATCTGCCTGCCTCGGCCTCCTAAAGTGCTGGGATTACAGACATGAGCCACCGTGCCCAGACCTAAAGATACTTTTTTGATAGAACACTTGTGGTCTTTGGCCTTTTCTTCCCTCCTTATTCTGAGATTTAACATATATGTTACAAACAGTTTAATGCACTTCACCAGAAATTGGGATTTATGGAGTTTTATTTTGTTAACAAATATGCAAACCTCGCAGAGGTACCTAAGTAATATTTAAAAATTGATTATTGAAGTGTAGATTCAGTCACTTCTGTCTCTCCTTAATTGTGATAGCAATGGTCTGATAGGGAAGTGGCATAATGTATTAAAAATAACCTGGGCTTTGGAGTTGGGACAACCTGGTTGGGACAGATGCTGGCTTTCTTGCTTATTATGTATTTAACTGTGGGCGAATTACCTAACATTTCTAAATTTTTTATTTTATAAATTATCTTTGTTAAATGGCAAGGTTCAAATGAGATGATGCATTTAACTGGTTAGCATCTAAAAGGTACAATAAATATTCTCTCTTTTACACACCTTTTACATATATATGTACATATGTATACACATATACACTTATGTGTGTTTGTATGTTTACCTATTGTGCATTTAAGAAAAACAATCATAGTTTATAGCAAGTTTTTATGCTGTTTTAATCTTTCGATCTTAGTTAAGATTCCCCAAATGGTTTAGATTCATTTCCCAACAGCTTGGTAATTTCTTGAATCTTTATAGTTGCTGCTTTATGCGTTAGCAGTGTAAAAGCATACATAGTGTTTGTGTTGGAAATGTGTATGGAATCTATTTTGGATGCCAGTAAGCTGTGATGTTGATATCATGGAAAGTTTACCCGTTTGCATTTTGAGTGATTACATAAGTATCAACCAAATGCAGAACATTAATTTAGGAATTTAGTCATTTTATAGTTTTATTTTGATAATTTGAAACTTTGCTTTATATTATTTTCTATAAGTTCAATTATGGACAAGAAAAACTCAAGACTATTTTTCTAAAAGATGTATTTCACAATTTTATGAGCATAGCAGAAACTATTGCTGATAGAACTGATTTCCTATTTGTATTTTAGAACTTACTTTGCCTTATTTTACTTACCTGTGAGATTGTGATGGTTTTTCTTTTTCTTTCAATTTGATGCCTCAACTTTTTGGATAATGATGACATAAAGCATATTATATGTAATCACACTCCAAAATGTTCTGTTTGGTATAGTTTGAAAATTGTAGAAAAACTTTTCTCCAGCCACATTTCTTTCTAGCAAGCAATAAGGGAACCTTTTGTTTTAAATATTAATAAAAACATTTCTTAAGGACATGCTTTAGAAGGAAGTTACAGTATAATTTTTATATGTCTCGTGTGTATTTGCTTTAAAAAGGAGTCTTAGGATGACATGGATTTCTTTTTTTCAGGAAAAGTTAAACTGAGGAGGATAAGAAATTGTGATTTTCTTTTGCTTAAGTTGTTGAGGTTGTGGTAGATTTTCCTTCTTCTGTATTAACTGAGCTGCAAAATCCCAGAAAACCTTGAGAACCTCTTTCCCCTTAAACCTCCAGATAGAAATCCGTTTCCCCTCTGACCAAATAAGAACCCCAACTCTCTTTTCCCACCTCCTGCTTCTGAATGCTGGTAAAAAGAGTTGATGGGAAAACCAATAAATAGTAAACCTTGTATAATTTATGAATATATTCTGGTTTAATCTTTATTTTAGGATTATTAAAATATAATGTGAAATTACTGATAAGTACCGACTTCTTTTGTAAATTTGCAACTTATTTCTTGTTCCCATTGTTTCTCTCTCTTTAAATGCAATCTGTGAGTTTCACAGCTAATGCTGAACTTTTCTTTGTTGCTCTGTTAGCCAAAAATTGTTAGATAAATCAGTGCAACTCTACAGACTTACTTGTACCATGGTTGCACTATATTTTCAACAACTCCCTTAAAATGCACGTTGAAAACAATCACCATCATTTAATTATAGAATATGCAGTAAAGGAAAAGAAACTTCTATTTTGATCAGACTGATAGAAAGTGGTTGATCTTAACTGTTTTGTGAAGAAAGAAAGTAATAGCCACGTAGGCTAACTGTAAGTCAGGTTGCATCAGAGGAGTTGTTTTTTTAGTCTAAAGTTCTTACTTAAAAATGACTGCTCAAATTACCTTTTTTTCCCCTTTATTTGAATTTTGGTTTAATTACAGGTGATTAAAATGTATATGCCTATTACAAGAAGAAACTACTGAATTACTCATTTATTTTTCCTTCTATACGGTTGATAACCATCTTTTGACATTTTGCCTTGAAGTAGTCTCTAGGTATAAAAACTAGGTCATGGTTTAACTGAAATGATTTTTTCCAGAGCCTTTCCAAGCATTCAGAATCTTTATTTTTCCATATAAGGTTCACAAATAAAGTTATTGATTGCCAAGTTCTCATCCTGATATTCCTGTTAATTTTTCAAAAATATTAGATGAGAATGTTATCCTGAGCAGTTTGCTGTGACTGACAGAACCTTTAATGGCAAATGACAATTATTCAGATATGCCAGTCTGGTTGGTTAGCACTGTTTTGTAGGAAAACTTGTTCTTTTGTAGAAAGTTTAGTGACTTAAAAGCCAGAAGACTTTATTCTTTATATGAGCATTCAGGCTGAGGTGTAGTATTTGTGGATGTATATGTTGCTGTGTGGGGTTCAGAAAAGTCATTTTTTACAGAAATATGCATGGAACTAGAAATAAAATTCACCTGCTGAATTTAGTAGTTACTTTGCCTAATGATAAACATCAATCATCACAAAACCTGTGCACTGTAAACTGTAATTGATTTTTGTCACACTCTGTACTGTAGGATGTAAACCCAACTGCTTTGCAGCTCAGGTAACACAAATGAGTAGTATAATGCTCTGTTTAAGGAACTATGGTGCACTTTTTAAGATGTTCTAATCTGTTATCACGTAGAGATAGGGATTTAGGATTACGAGATACATTGATTTTTTTTTTTTTTTTAATTTTAAATAAGAGAAGCTGGAAGTCTTGTTGTTTATTGTGAAATGCCCTCTTTAAATGTTGGGAATTGATGGGAAACAATGTAAAATACTGTATAGATGCAACAAAGCATATCTATCAGATAAATTTGCTGAGTGCTGCTAGTTTGCATCCTATGATCTCTCTTTGTCTTCCTGTCTCACGAATTTCTCATTGAGGAGGAATGACAGCTATTACGAAGACTCGGGCTCATTAATTTGGGATCTTAGGTTTCATACTAAGTTGACTCCTTTGTATTTTTTGAAATATGATTAATTGAGAGTCAGTTTTACCATTGTGTTACATTCTTTTTAGCTTGGATTTCTTTATGCATAGATTGCTTGAGTGTCCAGATAGTAATTTTTCTAACACTGAATTTATTAGTGTTTAATTTCCAAAGTTGTGTTTTAAAAAATTTCATTCTGCAACATTTATAATCTATTGTTGAAGATAGTGAATAGATCAGTACCTAGAAGTAAAAATGGATACAAGTACTACAAAGTCCTATATTGCCATATTTAATAGGTATTCAATTAATGCTTGGGGCTCTGAATTATATGCTGTAATTTCTATACTAGTATTCATTGTTTCTTAAATTTTAATAAGTTTAAAATTGCAGGCTTTTAATAGAATGTGAATATCTTTAATTGATTTGGTGATCTTGTCCTTTTTAAAATTTGTATATATGACCATGGTGACACATTTGTAAACTTAAGAAAGTGTTATTTATTAATTAAACCATCTTTGTATCATTTTAAATATTTCGGTTATTATTGATTCACATAGTTAATTACCATGTGTACTCAGTGAATTTTGCAGAATATTTTCTACATCTTTGTCTGCCTTACTGTAACTCAGTACTCAGAAATAGTTTTCTTTGCTAATAGAGTCACTTATCTGTCATATACAGAGTACTGTGTCCAAATTTGTCATTGCACAAAGTGTTTTTGGAAATTCCTGGTTACTCCTTAGTAAATTACTTGTAATTGGGTTAAATGCTGGTAGGATTTAAAATCTGATTTCTAAGCAAATTCTCTATTAAGTGAGTTTTGATACATAGAACTTATCATTGCAGTTCTTAAACTCATTTGTCATGTATTTTCATTTATAGTTTTCATATTCATTAACATATGTTGTTCCTTACCATTTACAGCTCAGAATTCTGCAAATGCAGATTTTGCAAACTTTGATGCATTTGGACAGTCTAGTGGTTCGAGTAATTTTGGAGGTTTCCCCACAGCAAGTCACTCTCCTTTTCAGCCCCAAACTACAGGTAGAGCTTCTCCAGCATTGTGCTTAAATGTTTACTATACAAAACAAAACTCTCTAAGTGTAGTTTTGAAAAATTAGTCTAAACTTAAATAACTGTAATTATCTGACTTTTAAATGGTTCTATCTTAAAAAGCTCTGGGGAAACCTGAACCCTTTATTTTTTTCTATGTTCATTTGTTTTTCTGCATTAATTACTGTATTGTCATTGTCTATTTGACTACATCCATTCTCCTCCTTTACCTGCACATGAATCTTCCTTATATCTACCATGCACAGAGGACAGAGGCATCACACTACTATAAGTATTTCTCTCTTTCTCTCTCTTTTTTTTTTTTTTGGGTGGTCCTCTTGCCTTAGCATGGAATGCAGGCACATGCCACCACTCCCAGATAATTTTTTTTTTTTTTGGTAGTGACTGGGTGTCACTATGTTGCTCAAGCTGGTCTTGAACTTCTGGTATCAAGCTGTCCTCCTACCTTGGTCTCTCAGAGTGCTGGGATTACGGGTGTGAGCCACTGTGCTCAGCCAATGCTGTAAGTTTTTTAAGGTTCATAGAATTCATTGATTTAGGCAGCCATTATACCTCTGAATAAAGGAAGCTAATTGCTTCCATAGAGCGAAAAATGTAAGTAATTTTCAGGACAACAAGCTTGAGAAAAAATTTTAAATGTTTATTAGACAAGAGTAGATTAATGATCACTTAAGTCAAACTTGGAAATAGTTTTCTGTGCAGGAATTGGTCTTTAAACATTGAATATTCTTTCTGTAAATTGTGCTGTTTTTGGAAATTCATTGAACCCTTATTTAGATCTTTGGCTGATTACTTTTCTTTTCAACTTTTAACTCTGCGTATTGTCTTAAAGCCTTTTCTTTCAATTTTCTTTTTTTTTTCTTTAACTTTCATCATTTACATAATTTCTGGCTGTCCAGCATTTAGAATGCTTTCATCTAGCTGCAGTTTTGGTGAATTTACTTCAGCTTTTCCTCTTCAGGCTACCCACAGTAAGTTCTGTTGTCAAGTAGGCATCTTATACTAATTTGTATATTTTTGCTATACTTCAAGTGTTTTTCCAATTGTAGATTGTTAATCTTTAGTAATAATCCTTCGTAAAGATCTCTTTCCACTCTATTTATTAAACTCAGAGTTAGAGGACACAGTAGTAGACAGAGTTACTTTTAGTTTAATCATTAATAATTTGAAATAATATTCTTTATATGAATTTTGAAAGTTTGGTATGCACTTTGTTTGCCAGCTCCTTGTAACAGGTCACAGTCTTTCACATACTAACATATATTACTTACCTTTAATTGAAACTTAACTCCTGAAAGAAATTTTATCATTATGTATTTGTTTAGGATGTATAAAAACCTGTTTGATAGAAAGTGTTCATATTTTTTAAGAGGTTCATGCATTCTGTTTTAAAATTATCTGTAGTTGTGTTTTCTATTACTTTAATGTGTAATTGTGCATATATACTATTTTGATTGCTGAAACACCAAAGTTTAGAAATAAAGAACTAATATCCCAAAGATGTAGTATCAAAAGCATAGAATAAAATATACTGGTTTTAGTCTTTTGATAGTACTTTAAGGAGGTCTCTATAATAGAGAACAGACTTTAAAGATTTAACAGGATATACACAATAGTGGCCATTAGATGAACTGTGGTTTATAAAGTCAAAAATTGCTATAATGTATTATGTACCATAATTTTAATGCCTTGACCTATATGGTAGGGCATGATTTTACAGTGAACATCATGATATTGTATACACATTAAATTATTATGTGGAATTAAATGTAGCTCTTCAAGTGAAGTAAGTGTAAATGTCAATGACCATCTTTTAAAAAATTCTGGATCACTGTAACACATTTTACATGTTATTAATTGCTACCCCTGGTATTTTTTTAAACTGTGTCACCATGGAGGTACAAAAGTTTGAAATTCTTCAAGTAAGATACTTTGCATCTTGTTGCAGTCTGTTTAGGGAGAGCTAGTAAAAGGCTATAGCATATTTGGACTAGAAAGTAACTGAATCTCAAACCAGGTAGCATGGAGTTACCTCCCCATGAATTACATTTTTCATTGCATGGTAGGTAATAAACAGAAACATGTTATTTTACATGTTGCCAAGGCCTTTGAGAAATCTACTTTTACAAATTACAAAATGTTACTTGTAGTCGAAAGCCTTTGTCAGTCATTGGTTTTAAGGTTGTGAGATTGCTTATAGGACGTTTAATTTAGGAAGAAATGATCATACAGTCTACGAGAGGGTATTAGGAAAAGCTTAGAAATTTCAAGTGCTCTGTTTATTCTGTTACAGGTGGAAGTGCTGCATCAGTAAATGCTAATTTTGCTCATTTTGATAACTTCCCCAAATCCTCCAGTGCTGATTTTGGAACCTTCAATACTTCCCAGAGTCATCAAACAGCATCAGCTGTTAGTAAAGTTTCTACAAACAAAGCTGGTTTACAGACAGCAGACAAATATGCAGCACTTGCTAATTTAGACAATATCTTCAGTGCCGGGCAAGGTATCGAGCTTTAAACAAAACAAATACAAATTTGTGTTAAACAGTGCTCTTAATTTGGTTATATTTATTAAAATCTGGACATGTTATACTTTTCTCAGTTGTTGTATAGAAGTTTTGGCTACACTGTCATTTTGAGTAAAATGTTCACTTGGCCTCATGATCCATCCACTTCAGCCTCCCAAAGTGCTGGGATTAGAGGTGTGAACCTCTGCGCCTGGCCAGCCTGGCCACCTGCCCAACATGGTGAAATCCCCGTCTCTACTAAAAATAACAAAAATTAGCTGGGATGGTGGCAGGCGCCTATAATCCCAGCTACTCAGGAGGCTGAGGCAGGAGAATCGTTTGAACCCAGGAGGGGGAGGTTGCAGTGAGCCCAGATCACACCACTGCATTCCAGCCTAGGTGACAAGGTGAGAGTCTATCTCAAAAAACAAAACAAAACAAAAAAACTTCACTTGGCACATTTTGGATCTGAAAGATCAACCATAAAACTGAAGACATAGAAGCTGATTTGTAAACTTTCCGTCTTAATAGTTGAGAAAAATTTTATTTTGTCGTAGAAGGCATGCTTTATTTTTCTTTGGTTATAAAGAGCCAAGAAACTCCACTGGCAGAGCTGAATGGGGGTTATTTGGTGGTTTCTATAATATATTTACTTTGAACAATTTTCTGTTAACATCTTGGTGGGTTTTTTCTTTTTAAAAAAATTGATGAATTTTATAGTATAATATCCAGTTTTATCTTATGGCTAGTAGCCTCTAAAAATGCATATGGCAGTGGTGAATAGCAGGGGTGTGTTGCTAAATGGAATTCTCCATTCTGATATCTAGGCCTGTTTTTCTCCTCTCCAAAATGAGGACAATTATAAGCATTGAACTCATGGAGTTGTGTTCTATAATTACTGCATGTAAGTCATTTAGAACAGTGCCCAGCACATAGTAAGTGCTCAGAAAGTGTTTCCCATTATTACTGACTCTAATTTTTTTCATGGAGAATGCTGGGGAAACGACCTTATTGATAGGTTGTTCACATTAGGTCTAGCATTATATGAATTTATATGTTCACTTGAACAAGATCTACCCATCTTGGAGAAATTAATGTAGCACTTGAGTTCTTTCTTAGGCGTAATCTAGACTTTTTTTTTTTTTTTTTTGGTGCAGAGTCTTAATTTTTGTTAAAAAACATATTCTGTCTTTACCACAGTGTTACGTATAACAACTAATCCTGTCCAGTATGGTCAGGTTATTTATTAGATTAAGGCTTTGGAGTCCTGCTTAGCTCTGATTCCATTTTAAGTTTACGCATGTTTCATGGTAAATGTGGTTGATAAGTTGACAGCATAACTTTAAAGTTTTGGTGTAACTTGATTTTGTTCATTCCCAGGTGGTGATCAGGGAAGTGGCTTTGGGACCACAGGTAAAGCTCCTGTTGGTTCTGTGGTTTCAGTTCCCAGTCAGTCAAGTGCATCTTCAGACAAGTATGCAGCTCTGGCAGAACTAGACAGCGTTTTCAGTTCTGCAGCCACCTCCAGTAATGCGTATACTTCCACAAGTAATGCTAGCAGGTACCTTGTCTTAGCTAGCCCTCCTGCTTTGTGTATTTTTTTCCAGCTTTGAACAATCAATTTAAAAAATGACTGTTTCAAGGTATAATTTTAAAATTCTTGAATATATTTATAAATTTGAATTTGAATTTAATTTGCTAATTAAAATATAATCCTTGAATAATTGCGATAATTTTATCTTTTCATCGAGTCAGACATTTTTGTTATGTTTTGTCCTTGAACACTAAAATATATTTGACAGCATGTGCACATCTCAAAATGGACAGTTATTTGCAGATTATACTCAGAGATATCCATTTAGTAGTCAAATAACTACTTTAAAAATACAGTTTTATGTATTTTTAATGAAATTATTTTCATAATTTTTAATGAAAATTAAACCGTGAAAGTACTGTATTACAGTAAATACAGATTTTTAGAAATGTTTGCACCAAAGCCCAAAATCAGTTCTGTATCTCTTCAGTGTCATCCTCGTATTTATAAGTAAGCACATCTGCTATTCTGTTCAAATATATCTGTTAGAATCCTTGGCAGCAGGAAGTCTAACACATTTTAAGGACATGACACTTTTAAAAAACTCTTCTAGTCTTACCTTTATTTAGGAGTTGTGGAAATAGTCTTAGAAATACAAGAGATTTACCTATAACAATGTTTTATTCATCTCTGTTTTCTATTCCTATGGATTGCATTTACTGCTTTCTTTTGTTATTCTAGTAGCTTATTTTCCTTTAACATCTTTTCTAGAGAAAAATATTAGGATTATAACACTTCTGGAAACAAAGTCAGGAAACATGTTTTATATATAATACATAATTTATTGATACTGCATTATCGTACATTAGGGGCTCACAAAGTCTGGTCTATAGAATGTTTTAGGTACCTGAGACCCTTTCATGGGGTCTATGAGGTTAAAACTTTCTTAAATTCTGAGAGATTGTTTACCTTTTGAGTAATTGACATTTGTATTGATGGTGTAAAAACAATGGCAAGTAACACTTGCTGGAATCTTAACATGAATATTAATTAAGATAGTGGCACCAAACTGTACTAGTCATTCTAATAGTCCTATTCCTCCCCACTACACATACAGTTTTACTTGTAATTTTGATTTTTTAAATGACTATTCTTAATGAAGCAGTAACAGTTGTTTATTTTATTATATCTTTACACTTAAATATGTCTTAATTTTCTTTGTTTTGATATTGATGTTGTGATACATGATATGTTCATTATTTTATGGCTACCCTGTAGATTGATTATCCTTACTTTCTCTCTTTTGTTTTCTTTTAAAAAAACAAACAAAAAAAAATGAACTCTTTCAATATTTGTTCTCAGCAATGTTTTTGGAACAGTGCCAGTGGGTGCTTCTGCACAGACACAGCCTGCTTCATCAAGTGTGCCTGCTCCATTTGGAGGTATGTGCTTTTGGTATATACACTGGTTTTTATAAAGAACCCAACTACATATTGTGTAGCATTTTCTTAGGAATCAAAGCAATGATTTGTTATCAGAATCCCTGAGTTTTCTATCTTGATAAATACAATGAACAAATAATTTAAATCTTAAATACAAAATGTATTAGGATTTTATAGTGTATTTTATAATTTTTTAAAGCTACGCCTTCCACAAATCCATTTGTTGCTGCTGCTGGTCCTTCTGTGGCATCTTCTACAAATCCATTTCAGACCAATGCCAGAGGAGCAACAGGTAAGAAAAAGAGACAGTCAGTAGAACAGTAAGCTTTGGGGAAGGCATTTATCAACAAAGACATCATGTGAAGAACACCAGAAAATGGCGCCTCTTTCTTAGTGAAGTGAATGGCAAATGGATAGAAGAATTTCTCCATAAAGACAAATTTTAGCTGAAAGTTTATAAAACCCTGGAATTTAACAGTTGAGAGGGACCTTAGAAATTATCTAGTGTCTACCCTTTCCAGGTAAAGCTTTCATTTTTCAGGTAGGGAAGCCCAGACATGGAGGTGAGACTCCACAGAGAATTTATGACAGGGATGGGACTTGAACAGAGCAATTTAGACGTATTTAGTGGTATGGTTTCAGAATTACTGGTTTTAATTCATGCAGTCTTAATGGAAGCATCTTACGAGAAGTTTTTTTTTTTTATGAGATTGCATCAAATTATTTTATGAATTCTTAATAATTAGGTCTTTTTCTGGTGAATCTCTCTTTCACATGTTGTGTTAACATTTTTTAAGTTGTGGAAACTTGATTCAGTTGTGGATATAATACTGAATATTTTTCTCTTGATAATTTTTTACCTTAATTTCTCTTTATTTTCTCCCTTTTTTCTTTTTGATTTATACTGCAAGCCAGTCACATCTTTCTCATGTTATACCTCTGATTTTTGTCGTATTACCTTAAACACCAGAGATATTTGCCATCATCTTGGAATGTCAGTAGGTACATGTGGTATGGCTGGTATCCATTAAATGTAGGGTTTATATGCTTTGTTTTTGTGAATTTGCCACAATAATTTAGAACTAAAGCCTAAACTCCAGTTACGGCAACTCTTGATATGAAATCTTGAGAGATTAGGTACTTGCAACATCGTAATCAAATTAAACCATTAAGAATTACTAGTTTTTACTAAATCTGTCATTAACAAGATTAAGAATCGCAACATTAGGAGTTTGAACCATAACTATTTTCTTTTTACATAAATGTCTTCACTTATACTTTGTTGACAACTAGCATAATAGATGTTTGGTAAATATTGGAATTTCACACAAAATTTATCTTTTTAAAAATGGTTTGTTTTAATTCAAGTGTACCTGATGAATGATTGTTTTAAATTTTTATTCATAGAATTTCTTCATCAGGTGCATGAGATGTGCAGTGTTTCTGTTTCTTAGTCTACTGTTTTGATTTAGCAGACTGAGTTTGTAAAATGTCTCATGATACAGTGGATTTTTGTGTATTGCCTCATTTAATCCACTCAGCTCTCATCGAATAAATATTTTAATTGTGTGACAGCTGAGGGAACAGGCCCAGAAAAGTTAATTGGATGTATTTTGAGAACAGCCAGCCAAACTTGTGTTTGAGTTCTGATTTATAGTTACTTGCTGGTTGACCATAAGAAAGCCTTTTGAATTTTGTTCTTTTAATGAATGGGGTAAGAATGATAGGAGGATGTTCAAACATTTATTGTGATAAATCTGTTCACAAGATGCTATTATTTATAGATACTGTAACCTCATTTAAGAACTGATGAATGGAAGCTCAAATTATGTCTTGACTGAGCCTAATCATGTTGACCTAACGTTTCTGAGCCTTCCTGTTGTCCCTCTCTGTAGGATGTGAACAATATTCTCTTGCTGGCAGGTTTGTTGTGAAATTAGATGATGCAAATTTATCCTGTATGGTCTTTGCATTATAGCATATGCTCAGTAAATCAGACCTATGATTTTTCTTTCATGACTATACCTCTGAGTTGGTTCTATCATTAGAGTTAAGGGCTTTTTTTTTGCTTATTTTACTTAGAGTATAAAAGTTTTATAAAAGTTGAAGTTCTACATAGGATATAAAATAACATGTTCAGATGATATAAGATAATTATAGTACTAAGTAACAAAAATTTATTAGAAAGGTAAAACTACTGTGTCTACAAATGTTTATTTTAAGGTAAAACATATTTTCCATTATAAGTCATTTTGAATTGATCACATTGATCACCTTTATTAGATTATTGTTGAATTGACCAAATCACTTAAACATTAACTGCATGTTTCTGTTGAAGCTGAAATACAAACAATACTTTGATAAATGTACTACGCTCAAGAATTTCTAGTGTTTTATACCATGGAAATTAATATTATTTAAGAATTTTTTGTTGCCTTTAAATATATTAACACTAGCCAGGCACAGTGCCTCATGCCTGTATCCAGCAGTCTGGGAGGCTGAGGCAGGTGGATCATCTGAGACCCGGAGTTTGAGAACAGCCTGGCCAACCTGGTGAGACCCTGTCTCTACTAAAAATGCAAAAAGTAGCCGGGTGTGGTGGCATGCGCCTCTAGTCCCAGCTACTTGGGAGGCTGAAGCAGGAGAATTGCCTGAACCTAGGAGGCAGAGGTTGCAGTGAGCTAAGATTGTGCCACTGCACTCCAGCCTGGGAGACAGAATGAGACTTTGTCTCAAAAACAAACTAATATATTAACATTGTGAAATTATATTTTGAGGCACCCTTTGATCCTAGCACTTTGGGAAGCCATGGCAGGTGGGTTGCTTGAAGCCCAGAAGTTCAAGACCAGCCTGGACAACATGGCAAAAAATACATGGTGTACAAAAAATACATGGTGGCAGGCGCCTGTAGTCCTAGCTACTCAGGAGGCTGAGGTGGGAGGATTACCTGAGCCTAGCAGGTTAAAGCTGCAGTGAGATGTAATTGTGCCACCGCATGCCAGCCTGGGTGACAGAGTGAGACTCTGTCTCCAAAAAAAAAAAAAAAAAATTGAGGAGGAGGGTATTGCATAATAGTTCTGTGTGAAATTTGAAAAGTTTTATCTATATATATTTTTTAACAGATTATCACTCTGTCACCCAGGCTGGAGTGCAGTGGTGCAATTTTAGCTCACAGCAACCTCTACCCTCATGGGTTTTAGCGATTCTCATGCCTCAGCCTCCTGAGTAGCTGGGATTACAGGTGTATGCCCCCACACCCAGCTCATTTTTGTATTTTTAGTAGAGGTGGGGTTTTGCCATGTTTACTAGACTGGTCTTCAACTCCTGGCCTCAAATGATCTGCCTGCCTCAGCCCCTGTACAGTGCTGGCATTACAGTTGTGACCCACTGCACCGTGATCATTCTTAAAATAACATTTGAAGAATCATTTTTTTTCTGGATTTATAAAACTTTGAGGCTTTAGCTTTTTTAAAAACTGTAATGTTACATAGGAACTCTCATTAGGAGGTTACCTATTATGGCCTAATTTTAGGATTCTCTGATATTTAGGATTCTTGTTTCTCCCCTAGAGCTCTTAAATCTAATTAATAGAGGTAAAATAATTTTTAAATAGTGGTAAATTTTTGTAACCCTTAGGTCTCTTCTTTGTCACTGAATGGTCATTATTTCCTAGCAGTTTGATGAATGAATGGTTTCAAAGATGTTTTTCCCCAAGGAAAGGAACTTGTAGAAATGCATAGCCTGTTGGATGGCATCTAACCCTCATATCTTTGTTTTATTACCTAGATGGAAGTCGATTTGCTAAGATTTAATTAATTTGCCTTAAAGGTTCAAAATTCAGTAATGGCTGATCTGATTTTAACACCCAGAGTACTTCTGAACCAACATTGTTTTTGTTCTAGTACAGTTGCCTCCGTATTTATATTTTAGTTTCACATTGATGAAACATTCACAAATTAACATTACGTGCTATTCCTAAATATTCAATAGGCTCACCTCACTTGCCTAGCATATTCCGAAAGTGAGGATTAATACAAAAAAGGGTTGGAGGTAGGTAGCTGACGAAAAGTGAAGAGAAAACCCTAAGTAGAAAATTACCTTGAGCTTTGAAGGACATATTTTGTCTATAGCATTGGTGATTTACTCTCCCTGTCGTCTCTCATTCTCAGTTTACTCTTAATAGTTGGACATCTCTAATATTTAGTACTCTACAGTTGGTATTTTAAAAAGGAGCCAAAAGTGAAAATTACCAATTTGGTAATTAAAAAAAGAAAGGGAGTTGGTATTTTAAAAAGGAGCCAAAAGTGAAAATTACCAATTTGGTAATTAAAAAAAGAAAGGGAAGTTGTAAAAATTTACATGACAGAAAACTTGATAATGGAGAAAATATTTGCAAATCATACATCTGATAAGGGATTTGTATTCAGAATATATAAAGAACTCTTACAGCTAAATAAAAAAAAAACCCAATTAAAAAGTGAACAAAATATTTGAATAGACATTTCTCTAAGAAGGGATACAGATGGTCGGTAAAAGAAAAAACGATGAACAATGTGAGGAGGTAGAGAAATTAGAAACCTCATATATTGCTTGTGGGAATATAAAATGGTATAACCCTTTGGAAAACATTTTGGCAGTTCCTCAAAATGGTCGTCATAGAGTTACCATGTAATTTAGCAGTGCCACTATTAGGAGTATACCAAAGAGGAATGAAAACATACATCTGCACAAAAATTTGTACACAAATTTTTCATCTATTTGTGTTCTACTATTATCATCGCTAAACAGTAGAACAACCCAAATCTCCATCAACTGATGAATCCAAATGTTGAATAGTTATACAGTGACAAATTATTTGATAATAAAAAGTGATGAAGCATTGATACATGCTACAACATGATGAACCTTGAAAACGTTCTGCTGAGCGAAAGAAACTAGTCACAGAAGGCCACATATTTGTGGTGCCATTTGTATGAAATGTCCGGAAACGGAAAGAAAAAGTAGATGAATGATTGCCAGGGGCTGGGATTTTAGTAGTGGTGGGGCAGCATGGGGAGTGACAGCTGATAGGTATGATATTTCTTTTGAGGGGGGATGAAAATATTCTAAAATTAGATTGTGATGGTGTGGTTGTACAACCCTGAGAATATATTTTAAAAAATTGAACTCTATACTTTAAGTGAATGAATTGTGTGTCATATGTGAATTATATTTCCAAAAGTTGTATAAAGTCTAAAAAAAATTTATAGCAGTTCAGGACCAGAGCTTGGGGGGCATCTTGTTGCAGACTGAGGTACATTGATTAATATTGGCTAACAGTCACTATTGTCTAAAAGTCAGTTTTTGCCAGTGTATTTTGTGAAACATGTCTACTGTAATGTTAGCAAAATTCTAGGGAAAGAGTTCTGTGTCTAAATACATGTGGGAAATGCTGGAATAAACACAGTTTAACCAATGTCATTAATGCAGGACAGCTCTGAACCTGTAAAGTGCTTTAAGAAAGGAGATAACTGTAAGGGTCACATTTATTTTTTTACAGGCCCATCTCCCTCAATTAACCTTTTTTTGTATTTGGAACATAGTGATACTTTTTTAAGTTTGCAAGAAAGTTACATTCATTCAGTATTTACTGCCCAACACTTTAATCCCTTGTTGCATTTACTTTTCATGGCAGCTTGAAGTGTAGATACTAATATCTCTGTCCCTCTACCCCATTTGCAAATGAGGAAACAGAAGCTTATAAAATAAAGTAACATTATGCAGCTAGAAAATGACAGAACCACAACTCAGAACTATTCAGTTTCTTAATCATTCTTATGCCAGTTTAAAAAATATTCCAATTTAAATGCATGGAAATATATTTTAGAGACAATCTTTAGATTGTTAAACAAAAAAAGGTTCTAGTATTTAACAATCTAGGTTTACTTTCTATTAATTTATATGTAACCTGTCTATCTTCACAAATGCCAGGTGAGTAAGATCTATACAAGATTCGTTTTGCTTTTTTCTCTCCTTTTTAGCGTTTATATTTTAACCTGAAAATACTGTTTACCATTCTTATGAACTAGTATATTTAATAGTTTTTTCCTTGTAATACTTAATTAGTTCATTTGAATTATTTGTGTATTTCTAGTTAATGTGCTGAGTTGTAAATAAAACAATCGAGCATTGTTCATGCCCTGTCTCCCAAGACTTGGTTTCGATCCCAAATGTAGATGCTCGATAATTTCAGATAATCCTATGAATAGCATATTTAGATGTAGCTTATGATGTCTACAAAGCGTTTTTTAATGACTATTAAAAAGGTGATGCTTATTTGTTTAAAAAATTGATTTCATCACTGCTTCTTAATCTGTTATGTATTATTCTAATCTCCCCTTTATTTCAAACAGTATAAATATTACAGTGTCATGAATTAAAAGGCTTATTTTGTAAATGTGCTTTTGTTACGTATTATGCTACCTCCTTAGCAACAGTATGCTCTAATTTTATAACTCTTTAATGAAACAAATTTACTTTTAACAATAGTTATCCATAAGTTAATTGACATTGGTCTCTCTATGGCTTCCCATAAGGCCTTTCTGGAGCAATGCATTCTCAAGTGTTTCCTCACGCTCATTTTGGTAGGTGGCCACAATTAATATCTAGATTTGTGTGGCATTATTTGTCTACCTGCTTGTGGAAGCTTCTGCTAGTGTTCTGGATCCCTGCATGTGGAATTAAGTTTTTTCCGTGTTTTAAAATGGAGTGGGCATGGATGTGTGGCTTTCAGATTACATTGTATTTAAAATTCCATGAAAATATTTTGTAGTGATTTATGTGTAAATGCTGAAAAGCATTACTGCTTACCTACATGGTCACATTAGAATGTTAATAGCCGTTATGATTCTTTTTCTTGAGTTTGAATTCATGATACTTTGTCGCCTTTTTGATATAGCAAATCATTATACTGCATTATTCCATGGAGTTTGGTTTTGCTTAACTGTATCCAAGTTTTGCTTTTTAGTGCTCTCTTAAAGTGATTTGTCAAAGTTATGTCAATGCATTGCTGTCTGTTATGAAGCCCTCCCGTTACCCTTGCAGTGTGCTTATTATTCTTTAATTCACTTGCTTCCCAATGGCCTGTTTTTCCTTTTTTTCTCATCAATAATAAAGTAATTTTCTTGATATTCTAATTAGGTTCACCGAGCAAAATTGCATTGTTATAAACATTACAACTACAGAGATTACTGTTGGGCAACATCTATAATTTGTTTTTCAGCTTTTTAAAGATAAAAGACATTCTGTGTAACATTTTTAGTGTTTAATTTCTGTGCATTAAATCAGTGATCTAATTGGTAAATTTGTTAAAATCAGTAAATTTAGTGAATTAGCATGTTATTTTGATTGCATCATGCTAAGAATATTTCATTATGTAATCTACTAGTTCATTACTAGTAGTCTATATTTAAAGCAACATTATTGGCTCTTACTTTACTGAGACCCTTCCTAGAACATATAGTTGGCGGTTCTGTTTTTAATATTCACTAGTAATAAGTAACATACTGCTCTGTTATTGCATTTGTTTTTGTAATTCACTTTAGTTCCCAAGTGATTAGTAAATAGGGAAATTACCGCAGCATTCCACATATGTAGCAGTTGATAACACACATTTCCCCCAATGTGGTAATACCTTGTCCACAAAGTAATACCAGCTAGACATGGCAAGGCAAGGAAGAGTACAGTAGCATTGAACACTATGGCCATTTATTCTGCATTCTTTCTAAGAATACAGTCTTTGTGGATTTCCCACTAATTTCGATAGCTCAGCTGCCCTAACCTTCCTTGAGTCTTCCAAAGCTGTCTTTATTTGCCTTCCAGAAGAAGGTGGGAGTCCATGTGTGTATATATATATCCATATAATTGATTTAATAGGACCATGTCCTTTAATTGTGTTAGTGTTGTTAATAGAGTTTCTCTCTGGCTGTAGTTACAAAGCTGCATAGGTTCTGAATGGTCTGCCTCTAACTAACCCTCTTTTTCCAGATTACATTTCCAAAAATAACAAACTATTTTTCAGTGGTTTTTAATTTTTTTTCGAGAAACACATATTACGTTATGGCAGATACTTCAGTAGATTAAAATTTGGCTGTTATTTTACTACATACAGCAAAAGAAAACTAAAAACAAAAATGTATACTAGTATACATTCACTAGTATACATGTGAATTGTGTGAATTGCATGATGATGAGCCTTTAAAAAGACTACTGTTTAGATTTGAATTTATAATTTGAGAAATTTTCTTGGGATTTCAAATTTCAGCCTTAGTAGCTTCATTCTGGTCATTGGGTTTTAGGAGAACAACATTTCTACAGGTTATGTTAAAACAGCATAGCACTAAAACTCATTGGTAACTTTGTTGGAATTTTGGAATTAACACTGCCTTTAATGTACATCCTAGTATTTTTCAAGGTAAATGATGTCTTTTTTTACAATGTTGTGAGAAACTAAACATGTCCTGTTGTATGTAACTGAACAGCCCTTCTTTCCTCCTGTCAGCGGCAACCTTTGGCACTGCATCCATGAGCATGCCCACGGGATTTGGCACTCCTGCTCCCTACAGTCTTCCTACCAGCTTTAGTGGCAGCTTCCAGCAGCCTGCCTTCCCGGCCCAAGCAGCTTTCCCTCAACAGACAGCTTTTTCTCAACAGCCCAATGGTAAGATCTAACATTTGGCAAACTGTATGTTCATTTTATATATTCTTTTTATATCATAATGTTGTGTGCTTGAGCAGAAAGACTTTTCTAATTAATGCTATAGTATTATCTACCGAGTATTTAACTACACAAAAATAATAGCTTTTGGTGATTTGAACCTCAGAAAGCTAAGTGATTTTGTAAGCTTTTGGGAGCAGGTTATGATTTATGGGAAATCAGTGACTATGTAAAGAGTATCTCTTCATTCTCAGGGTTTCTAGAGCCTTTTTCTGATTAATTTGTCTTACATGTTCTAATATGCTTCTTGATTTTTAAAGGAGACTTCATAGACCTAAAATGTTTTTTTTTCTTTCATCAAAGAAATGTGTACCTTTGTGTGTGTGAAAGAGACTACTTTTCTAATTTGATAACTCTACTGTAGTTAGAGTTTGTTATTTGATTTTAGGAAGAGATAGGAAGAGTCACTTGACCATTTTTACCTATTTCTGTCATTTGCTCAAGTTTGAAGTGTATAGATTTGAAGATTCTTGAATCATAACTACATTACTTTTTTTTTAAATAAATGGTTATTTAAAAATCTGAAATATGGACTATGGAAGAGCCATAAATAAGAAAAGTATTTTCTACAAAATATTGTGATGTTTACATAGAAATCATTGCGTTGTCTGCATGGCTTGTCCCAAATAGTCACAAGCTCATCTAGTAGTGAAATCCTATGAATTTTAGTTATTGAGACAAATTGGAATGAAAGAGCTGAATGAAAGTTTTCTTGGCCAGGTGTGGTAGCTCATGCCTGAAATCCCAGCACTTTGGGAGGCCAAGGCAAGTGGATTACTTGAACCCAAGAGATCAAGACCAGCCTGGGCAACATAATGAAATCCTGTCTCTACAAAAAATATAAAAATTAGCTGGGTGTGGTGACATGTGGCTGTAGTTCCAGCTACTTGGGAGACTGAGGTGGAAGGATCACCTGAGCCCTGAAGGTTGAGGCTGCAGTGAGTCATGATCGTGCCACTGGACTCCGGTCCGTGCAATAGAGCGAGATCCTGCCTCCAAAAAAGAGTTACTTTAAGACATGCTACCATCAGTTTTTCTTTGGTATCTGAAAGAGCTTGAGGCCTAACAACTAAACTTTGATATTTTATTTTTATTGCTCTGATAGGAATTTCTCTGAAAGTTATTATGAGACTTTATAAGCATCAGATTGTCTTTTAAAGATACAGGTTATAATTGGTGGTTCTGTTTTAACAAGGTGCAGGTTTTGCAGCATTTGGACAAACAAAGCCAGTGGTAACCCCTTTCGGTCAAGTTGCAGCTGCTGGAGTATCTAGTAATCCTTTTATGGTAAGCAAAATTTAAAATTAAGTACATTATAAGTTGTTAAATCTTATTTTTAAATTAGGAATAGCAGGATGTTAATATTCCTAGATGGTATTTGGTATCCTGTTGATGTGACATGATACAATTGTACAAATTGACTTGGAGCCATTATGTATGACCCTTTTCTGACCTTTTAAAAAAACTAGTTGCAAATTAAAGCATTGACAGTAGTTCAGCTGTTTTATAATATGAAACTTACTTGCTTTCTTGTCAAAATAACACTTTACAGAGGCCCTAAGAATTGGTGAACATAAAAAAGAGGTCTTAAGAGTCAGAAGTTTCATTTGAGTCTTTTCTAAGGGCTTTTTAAGACCATTCTAATATTCTTCCTAGAATCTGTTACAACAACTCTATGAAATTAATGGTTATGAAAGGCATAGCACAGTTCCTGACACGTAATAGTTTTATATAGCATATTGCCAATAACAAATAAATGTTATTGTCAATAATTTAAAAAAATTCTTAACCAAAATGTCTAATTAAATAAAATTAAATTCAGTGTAATGTTTTTTTATTCTGTACATGTACCACTTTTATCTCTTTATTTGTCTTATGTTTTCCTTTAGACTGGTGCACCAACAGGACAATTTCCAACAGGAAGCTCATCAACCAATCCTTTCTTATAGCCTTATATAGACAATTTACTGGAACGAACTTTTATGTGGTTACATTACATCTCTCCACCTCTTGCACTGTTGTCTTGTTTCACTGATCTTAGCTTTAAACACAAGAGAAGTCTTTAAAAAGCCTGCATTGTGTATTAAACACCAGGTGATATGAGCAAAACCGAGGGCTCCAGTAACACCTTTTAACCTGAATTGGCAGAAAAGGGTAGCGGTATCATGTATATTAAAATTGGCTAATATTAAGTTATTGCAGATACCACATTATTATGCTGCAGTACTGTACATATTTTTCTTAGAAATTAGCTATTTGTGCATATCAGTATTTGTAACTTTAACACACTGTTATGTGAGAAATGTTACTGGGGAAAAGATCAGCCACTTTTTAAGGTGCTGTCATATATCTTGGAATGAATGACCTAAAATCATTTTAACCATTGCTACTGGAAAGTTACAGAGTCAAAATTGGAAGGTTTTATTCATTCTTGAATTTTTCCTTTCTAAAGAGCTCTTCTATTTATACATGCCTAAAATCTTTTAAAATGTAGAGGGATACCTGTCTGCATAATAAAGCTGATCATGTTTTGCTACAGTTTGCAGGTGAAAAAAATAAATATTATAAAATATGCTATTGTTTTTGTGTTCTTGCTGCAATGCCTTTACCAAAGTGGCCTTAAATATGAGTAGTGAATTGAGAACATCTTGAATTCTTAAAAGACTTCTTAGTTACTTTTTATAAAAAGGCCATGTAGAAAAGTTATTAAAACTACTATGACTGCTACATTCAGGAATATGTCAGTGGTAAAGCATTTAAATGTAGCTTGTCAGATTTACCATAATCCTTCTAATTTCTTTGCAGCTTATTAATTTTGTGAAATTTGTATATATGAAGAATTTGCATGTATGTGTATTTACAAATTTTTCTAAGTATCTTGAATTCTCAGACTGCAAAAGGCCTATTTTAACTATTGATTTTTTAAAAACAATATTGTCTTTGAATGTATTGGAAGTAGACATGCATTAACTGTGACATTATTGCACCTCAGTTCTCTTCTTTCTTTGGGCAAACGATATTATATCTAGGATATTTGTTTATGTTTGTTTTTTGGGGGAAAGAAACTGGAACTCAGTGTTACCTTGAAGTTATGGGATACTTTGTTTAAAAAGGCAAAGATACTAAGTTTAGTATGTAACTCAGAAACTTGGAATAGTTTTTTAAATGTGTGTTAGAGCTTATGCATTTGTTTTTATGAGGGATTTTAATAAACTTCGTTATTTGCTTGTCCAGACTATAGCATATTAGCAGTTTAGAAGGGATGGCTTGCAAGGAAGGCGACTGGAAAAAAAACTCTGAGGAGCATACACTGTCCAAGGCCATTAGTGTAAGGACCACTAGCCAGCCTAGAGGACATCACTATACTACATCATCTGATGATCAGTCTTTACTGTGCCTCTAGGTAATCAAGGTAATGAAGGTGAAATTGCATACACAGATATGTAGTACATGTTTTAAAAGTTTTATCTTGAATTGATTAAAACTTTTTAAAAAGCTTTGGTATTCAAAGAGGTAAACGTTAATTTACTCAAATATTTTATTCATGTTGAATGCCTTTTGCAATGATGACTGAGTTGTTATCATAGTATTTTAAAATCTGCATGGTGTTTTAGACTTGTTAAAACATTGCTGTCCAGTGTACATCTAGCCGAAAGTGTGGTTTATCTGAACCGTTTTAATAAGCAAGATCACTGGGAAATCACTGCCCCTTTTCTGAGTAGTATGCCTCTTCTTTTAGAATTAAATGAATGCTTCACAGGTCCAGGTGTGTGTTGATGTAGGCTTGAAATGTCTCTACATTTTGGGGGACTTCCTCAGCCCTTTTCATTGAGGGAAAATTTGAATTTCTGTTTTAGATTGTATCGGGTCCCAGTTGATGATGTGTACGAAGTTATATACTACCTAATTATAGGCCATTACCCAAATAACCTACCAGGTTTTCCCTCTGAGTAGTAAATTAAACAGTTGTTATCAAAATAATTTTAAAGACTCTTTCTTTTTCTGGGTAACTATTGAAGTTTGTAATTAAATGGGAGCTCCTACTCACTTTAAATTAGTGCTTATAAAATAGAAATGTTTAGTTTAAGAAGAGACCCAAGCTGGGTATGGTGATGCAGAGCGTGTAGTCCTAGCTACCCTGGAGGTGAGGTGAGACATCACTTGAGCCTAAGATTTGGGGGTTGCAGTGAGCTGTGATCACTCCACTGAACACTAGCCTGGGTGATCAAGTGAGATCCTATCTCAAAAGAATTAAAAAAAGAGAGAGAGAGAGGGGGGTAGCTTTAAGGTATTATAAGTATTAACGTAGTTTTTCATATGATATTGACTGTTTATTATTAAAGAAAATTAGCTTTTGTTAGACTTTTATATTCAGATTTGTTCTAGTTTTATATAGACCATCAAAATTATGTTGAATACTAAAAAGGAGGAAAAAAAAATCCTGGAAGGGTAACAAGGCTGAAAACCTCCAAATTTCCTGGCTTACTGGTTTAGTCCGATCATTTTTCCTGTTCAGGTATCTATCTGCAGGTATCCCTGTTCAGGAAGGAGGATCTTTTTTTGGGATGGCAAACTTTTGACATAGTTTAAAGACATTTTTTCCTTATTTTTTGAAATAGAGAATATTTTACTATTTTTGTGAAAAAATAATTCCTTTTATTAATTTGTAAAAGCATGTCATTTCTTTACCTGTGAGATTCCCTGCCCCTTACACACACACACACACACACACACACACACACACACTCTCTCTCTCTCTCTCTCTCTCTCTCTCTCTCTCTCTCTCTCTCTCTCTCTCTCTCGTACAGTTCCCACCAGTTGCCAACATGAAGAGGGTGACCTGGCTGCTGCTTTACCAGTGTACGAACATCTCTGGAGCATTTTAGTCTCAGGACCATAACTCTTATTGAAGATCCCCAAAGAGCTTTTGTTGATGTCGTTATATCTCTCAGAATTTACTGTATTGAAATTAATACTGAGATATTTCTAAAACATGTTCATTTAAATATAACAATAATAAACTACTTGCTAGCATAAATAACATTTTTGATAAAAATAACTTTTCCAAAGCAAAAACTAATGAGAACAAGGAACATGTTTTACATTTTATGCATTTAAAAAAACTGGCTTAATAAAAGCAGTGAGAGCATTCCAACTTAAAAAAAAAAATTACACAGCATACACACTGGAAAATTCCACTATGCACTTGTGAAATTATGAGAAAGAAAAAGATATATAATGTCTTAGTAGGACAATGAAAATAGTTTGACCTTTCACAGCCCTTCAAAGAAAGGGTCGTAGACCTTAAGGGTCTCCAGACCCTTTGAGAACCACGATACTTTAAATTTGTTAGAACAGTATTCACTTGTTCTAACATACTACCTCCTGAGGTTTTTTTGTGTTTGCTAGTGAGAAAAACTGAAATTGCAGATGTTTTAACACTAACTACTTCAAGGTAATAATAGCAGTGATATTACGTATGGGGTATGTATCAGACAGTCACTTGCCAAATGATTTTCATATTTCATCTCCTACAGTCCCTGCAGTGAACCCATACTTTTAGGATGAAAGAAGCAAAGCATAGAGAGGTGACGCTAGTGGTAGCTTTTGCTCTGGGGAACAGATTTGGATTAAAATGCTATCACATTTCTTTACAAGTACATTCCTTAATATTTTGAAATTCCGAACAAGTTACATTCTATATCTTGTATACCTAAAAAAAAAATTTAATCACTTGAATTCTTTTCATAATTTGATGAAGTCAATACAGTTTATTCTTGGGTTTTTTTTTTTTTTAACTTTAGAAGTAATACGGTAACTAGTGGAGCGTGTTTTAAATTGAAGACTCATCTGAAGTGTCAAAGACTCCTGTTTTGTAAAGCATTCCACCTTTATTGTTACAGTATGTGCCCTATACAGTTTTAAAATTTACTTTTAAAAAGGTAGTATAATTAAAATTTCTATTAACCTGTTGTATTGAGTTCATCCTCATTAGCTAAAATTTTCTTTTTATATTTTAAAATTTAGTGACATTAAACTTTTCATGTGGTTGTTTGTGAACAAACGAATATATAACCACAATGTAATCTAGTGTGCTGCTGAATGTTTAACAACCATCTTTCACGAAAGAAAAAAGGCCCTGTTTTGTAGTGTTTACTAATATTTGTGGTATAAATACTATCTCCATGGTGATTTTACCTGCCAATCTGATGTCGTTAAATGCGGTTTAAAGAGATAGCAGACCAGTGGCTCTCCCAAGCCTTTACAAACCAGCTCTAGCACAGTAAGGACATGTAATTCCACAACTCATTGATTACATTTATTGTTCATTTGATGATTATATCCAGTATTTGAAGATCTTTTATGTTGTTAATTCATTCAGCAAGCATTTGGACACGTGTTCACTTTTAGAGATATACTGGGCACTGAGGTGTTTAATCTGCAAAGAGCCAAGTGTTGTGAACCATGGTTTTTAAAAGTCCAATTGTTGTGCTTTTATAGGGGATTGTACATTCAAGGCTTACACTCTGAATTCTGTGTACAGTTCTGTTTTGTTTGACCAGCACAGTGTTTTAAAATGTTGCATTCTGAATTCATCTTTTTAAAATGGGGCATGTACTGTTAAGGTGGCCACTAGCTTACCACTCTGTTTTCCTTAGTCTCAAACATTCACATGCTTTTCAAGGCCTTTGAGTTGGCAAATCCTGAATAGATAGTGAAGGTAGGAAATGGCTCTTCTTATGCCACATCTTAGTCTGATTTTGAAGTCAGTTGTGTAAGTTTGGGCTGACAATCGTATTTCCCAGTGAAGACTTGTTGCCAAGAATTCATACCATTCTGATTATTTTATTCTAGTGGATAAAAATTCAACATATATTTCAGTATATTTTTGAAATCTGTGCTTGTCCAACATAGGGCCGTAGAGGCTGATAAAAAGAGAATGTTGTGATTTGAGCTTTTGTAAAAGATACAGTGATGCTGGATAAAATATTTCAAATGGTTATGAAAATGCCCATAGTTTAATTTTTTAAATCGGTTCTCTGAAATCTTGATATGTTATGCATGTTACAATTTAAGCAATGAGAATGAAATTCGAAGTCTAAATTCTCAGCATCTTCCCTCAATCTTGAGTGGAGAGACAGAGGAAGCAAACGCCAAGGAGCCTTCTAATTTTGACCATATGATCATTAACTAAAGGCAGCAAGGGGTTGTAAACTAATCTTATATAGTCAATGTTTCATAGAATGCTTTGGTTGCAATCAGGTTTTTTAAAGACTTTAAAGGTTTTTTGTATGTTATAATATATGCTTATGTTTTCTAAAAATTATGCAGTATGCACAAAGGGCATAAAGTCAAAAAGTATGTCTCCCTCTGTGACTTCATTCTCACACCCAAGAGGTATATAATTTCTTGTGTCTTGTATAGTCTTTCAGAAATGTTATCATTTATTTTATATATGCCTCTCTCTATATGCCTCTTCCTGTTCTTCCTTATTTTAAATGTTCAGTTTTGTGACTTTGTTCTTGTTTAACTTGGTTGTCTTTTCATATTACCACATCCAGCTCTAACTCATTATTTTAATGTCTCCAGGATTCCATTATATGGATGTCCCTTTTGGAGAACAGTTGTTTATAGACTTTTCTACTAAAAATATTGTTACAATGATAATATCCTTATGCATATATGAAGATTACTCTTGATTCTGCCTGACTGGAAACTTTCAATAAAATAGACATCATTCTATTTTGAGACTCACCAGATGTGTAGGTATGATCTTGTGCTTCCCTATTTAAGAAATTCTTCAATTTAAAGAAGAAGAAAAAAATATCTCTAATTGACTGAAGATACATGAAAAATTCTATGCTTTTAAATTAAAACTATTAAGGCAGTCAGTTCATTGAAAGATTGTGCAAGCTCACATCTGTTTTGCACCTTAATTTTTTCATTGTCCCTACTCATGAGTCTAAAAGTGCATGGCTTGGGGCTATACTTTGTTTTACAGTTTGTTGGTATCGTGCCTTTTCTTATCTACATTAGCTTAGACTATACCTTATTTTTAAGAAGAGAAAATAGCAGTTAACTATGGCAAACTCTATTTTGGCACAACCACATGTTTTTTCGTTATTTCTTCAAAATTAGCTTCCTATGCTTTAGAAAAAAATGTAAATTATTACTCCAAAAGTTCTGATTCTGATTCCTCATGGTTTAGAGCTCAGAAATTTCTTAACTTGTATTTCCTGTTAGTCAAGCACAGGATTTGTTTCCTGCAAAAGTTTATTTTCCTTAAGGAATACTTGTCCTAATAGCTGATAGAAAGTACCTTTGCACTTTAAATCCTAGAACTAGGGAACAAGGAAATTTACTGAGAAGTTCAAAAGAAAGAATAACAGAACCTTCTAGGCAGCAGGGCATGTTTAGAAAATGTTAATACACCATGATTTTTGAAGACCAATTTTAGTTCAGGAGGTGGTTTTAAATACTGGATGAAAACTTACAGGCCGAATTCAATATTCATTTCTGAAATGCTTTAGTATGATAGATAAATTTGGTTAAGTTCTTGTTCATTGTGAAATACTGTTGGAAGAATTTTTTTCAAAATAAAGACTTACGAATTTATGTACCATTTGGGAATAGCCTCTTTCATTTCAATTAGGTGTCAAATAATCTGCAAAATTGGAAGAATATTTGTTTCTTTCGTCACTCACATTATGCATTCCTGTAAAATAGCTCATGCATTTACTTCCAGCTTAACCTGTTTTATTCCATTAATTAAACTTGTGCCATTTTTTTAAATTAAAAAGTCTTATTTTAAAAAACAGGATCTGTTACTTAATTTGCAATTTTTTTTCCTTCAAAAACTGATTTTTTTTTTTTTTTTGCACATACCTTGATGTATGCTGGTTTTAAGAAAGTGTTGTAATGGGATTTTATTTGCCTTACTACTGTTGAAATTTAGAAGGTAAATACTGTACTGTGTTTGTCACACCACTAATCTTATTTCCCTGAAGTGGTCACTCACTATTATTTGTTATGGGACCATCTTGGTTATTCTGTACATCTGGTTGTTTGTTTAAATTATTTTCACTAATAATCACCAGAACACAGAAGAAAATTTTGTTTCCTTAGAATCAGCAAGTATTTCCACCACCCGGGGGTGGGGACAAGAAGGAAAGAACTAATGTTTATTTTAGCCTCTTTAATGAGAAACTATTCAATTTATTTTTCTTCATATTTTTTCTTAAGTGGTATGCTAATGATTTTTGCTGACCTCAAGATTTGGGACTCTGTGAAAACTACTATACCAGAGTCAAATTGCCTGTGTTCTTTTCTGCCATTAACTGGTTTTGGGGTGGGAAATTCAGATAATTCCACTTTTCCAACTTAAAAATGAGGTCTCCTCCAAAATAAGTTTCTCCACAGCCATTTGGAGTGTGTATTTAAATTACACAGTAATGTTTTAGGAATTGGAATTAAACATTTCAGAATAATAGCTGTTAGGCTGGGTTCAGTGGCTCACACGTGTACTCCCAGCACTTTGGGAGGCTAAGGTGGGTGGATCACCTGAGGTCAGGAGTTTGAGACCAGCCTGACCAACATGGTAAAATCTCATCTCTGCTAAAAATACAAAAATTAGCCATGGGTGGTGGCGGATGCCTGTTGTCCCAGCTACTTGGGAGGCTGAGGCAAGAGAATCGCTTGAACCAGGGAGGCAGAGGTTACAGTGAGCTGAGATTGCACCACTGCACTTCAGCCTGGATGACGAGGGAGATTCCATCTCAAGAAAAAAAAAATAATAATTTTTTAAAAAGCTGTTAGATTGAACATATAAAACACGTTTTTGTAGATAAAAATTGCCAACTGTCAGCAACTTTGACCTAATTTTTTAATCAACTTGTGCCATTTACCTCATGTAGTTGATCCCATTTAATGGAAACAAAAACCCTTTAAGGTAGTATTGGTCAGAAGAAAACACAAGTGTTCACTTGGCCAGGTTGCACAGCTGATTAGTAAGTGGCGGGAGTAGAATTCTGTCTGATTTTAAAATTTATCTTCCCATCAATATTGTATTTCTACTTTGAAGCTCCTCATTCTGGCAATTCTAATAAGAGTATGGATATTAAAAAAAAACCTGTTTCACAAGCACTGTTGGAAACTGTAAGGACTACTTACAGCCTTCCTGCCCCCAGTGATTCAACTTTGGGTTATTTCCCTTCCATATTTCCTCCTTGCCCATGTGAAATAATTTTGTTGTGGCCATAGCCAGTTGATTTTTAACCCATTTATGCCTAGTGTCCCATTATCGGGACACTAAGCTTGTGGGAGAGTTATTTATATCCTACTGCTCAAGATTATTGCCAAAGTCTGATTTTTTCACTCACAAATATTTGCAGCTTCTGGCATGGATGGGTTCATGATGAACTTTTCCTACATACCAGTTTTCTTCCAAACAAAATACATGTATTATTTTTTCTGATGGTGAAAAGACATACTTAATGCAAAGAATTTGAAAATGAAAGTTTAATCCTGTGCAGGTATATCATAAGTATATCTGGATTTTGTTTTATGGGTAAATATAAAGACTTCTTACAGAATGGCATATTATACTTAGTATCTTGTAATCTTTTCCTCAGTATATCATGGTTTTCTTTCAGTGTCAGTATAGACCCAGATTCTCTTCCAATGAAGTTTCATTATATGGAGTTCACATAATCTCTATGACAAATATTTATATTATTTCCAATTTTTAACATCAGGAATTTTACCTGTGTTGTACACATGACCTGGAATCATGTGTTTTTAGAAATGGAATTGCCAAGTGAACAATGTACATCTTAAGAATAATGATGCATCTTCTTTTCTCTACTGCAGTATAGTTTTTGTGGTCATTTGTCATTTTTCCTAATGTTAATTGAATACCTCACTATAACCTTTCATTTGGATTATGTCTTGGAATAAATACTTGTAAATTATACTGTTAGCTTATAAGGATTAACATTCTCTCAATTACTATTTAAAGAGATTGTTTTAATTTATATAATGCCAAAAAAGTCACATGGGCCATTTTGACTCCAGTTCTTTTTAATGATTGCTAATTTCAGAAGATTCCTTATTTTTTCTTTTTTTAATTATTGGTGAGTTTGATTTTTTTCATGATTTTCTACTTGCATTTTCTCATTTATGAATTGTCTTAAAAGTTTAACAGCCTGGGTGACAGAGCGAGACTCCATCTCAAGAAATAGTTAAGGTATTAATCGGATTAGCTAAATTTACATTTTTATTCATTATATCTCATTGTTTTGGGATAACGATGGCACAAACTGGGACTTTTCTATTGCTAATGATGCCATTTAACTTTTAGGCTGAATAACCTAATCTAATCGAGACATTGAAAAATCTAGATAACTGTTAGTTTTCTTCTAGTTTCATTTTTTTTAAATCAGAGAAGGATAACTTACTCTGATACTCCAGTTGAACTGTTTGTTATTCAGACTTAAAGCTTATTTCTTTTCCCTACCCTGTATCTAGAACACACAATAATGGCTGTTTTTTTTTTTTAATTTTTGTTTTTGGTGTGTTAGTTTCACTGTGATGTGTCTGAATGTGGGTGTTTTATTTTTGTGTTTTGCATGGGATTTGATATGCTTCTTGAATCTATATTTCTGTGTGTGTGTGTGTGTGTGTGTGTGTGTGTGTTGCTACCAGCTCCGCAAGTTTCTTAACCATTCTGTATTCAAGTATTAATTGCCTTATTTGCTGCATTAATTGTTAAGATTTATAAAGGTTTTAAAGAAGGAATTAAGTAAAATTCTTTGGAATCCTTGAAGGATTTTAAACATTAAAAATGTTTATGGTTATCCGTATCAATTCAGACTAAATTTCCATCAAGTTATCACAGAAGAATATAATAAATTTAGAATATATAAATCATAATATGATTTTAGAACAGTACAGGTTCTTTCAGCTTTTCTATTTTAGTTGCTGACCGTATTTGGGTAGGTCTCCCAAATAAGAGCGAAGAGGAATACCAGGCCTTCCAGATAAGATTTCCAGTTTTCTCAACTATGGAAACTTTAGAGAAACTTGCAAATTCTAGCAGGCCAGAGACATCTTTTTTTTTCCTATTAAGAAATAATACTTTAAAATGCACAACAATTTTGGCTTATTTGGTGATGTTTGAGAGCTGCTCATGTAAAAGCAATCACACTAAATGCTGTATGTCATTGTCCTAGTACCTTCCATTTAGTAGGTGTTAATTTGGTGCCGTTTTGCTAAGTGATTTCTAAATAGTATTTCCTATAATTTTCACAATCTTTTATGTAGGTATGATTTCTATTTTAGCAGACAAAATGGGCTTAGAAATGATGGTTTACTTGTTCAAGTAACGTAAGTGGCAGAACTGAGCTTTGAATTCAGCTCGAGAATTCAACCATTCCACCACAGTGCCTTGAGGGAGCTGGTCTTCTAGTAAGGGAATATGATGCACATGTAAGTCCATACCAAGAGCTGGAAAGTGGGGCTGTGGGAGAGTACAAGACATCTCAGTCTGACCTAATCTGGATTTATGAAGGAGCAGTAGAATGTAAGACTAAGGGGGAAGAATGAGAAGGAAGCAGAAGAAAATAAGTCCGTATATTGGGGTTATGCTGTATTGGTGGACAAGCAGGTATCTGAAAATATATTGGACAGGTTGTCTCCTCAGGGCATTGATTAAAGGATGGGGTGTCTGTCGGTGTAAGAGTACTTACTGTAAAATAATTCCTTTCCAGATCCCTTTGGCATGAAGAACATGGAATGGGTATAATAGTTGTGTTTAAAATTAGTGTGAGGTAGTATTAGATTGGAATTCTGTGTAGCACCAGAGGCGTTAAAGATGATTACAGTCATTTGCTACTCAAAATGTTGTCTGAGGACCTACAGCCTGGACGTAGTCACCTCGAAGCTTGTTAATTATATAGAATTTTGATTAGGCCCCATCCCAGGGTAGTAAATCAGAATCTGTATTTTAACAAAATCCCCAGGTGGTTTGTATGGAAATTCAAGGATAGAAAGGACTAATTTAGTTTCTATGTTAGTTACATCATTTTTATATATGGCTTTTTATTGGTCATACTAAAATCACTGGAGAATCTTACGGAGATTGGAAAAAATAAATTCTGTGAAAGTACATTTGAATTAAGTTACTTTTTATGTGTGTTCAGTTTTATACATGTATTACTAGGAGTCAGGAATTTGTGCAAAAAGTAGTAGAGAAGTGTGCTGGTATCAGCCTCACACACATAAAGTCGTTAGGTGATGCCATGCAATGAAGATAAGTGCAAAGGCAGTAGACTTTTCCTCTGGAAGATACTGTGGAAGAGGAAAATTGTAAGAGCACAGGTTTCACTGTCATCATCAAGTCACTGGAAGAGGAAAGGAGGCTGCAGATGAGAAAAGCACCTGACAGCACCTGAAATACTCCTTGATGCTGGTCCACATTTGAGCAGTTGGCTCAGAGGAGTGGCAGCGTTGAGGAGGAAGAGGATACCTTAATCGTACACCCTGCTGGCCAAGGTACGGCACAGATGTCAGAAACTGGCTGAAAAGGGGCAATGGTTCCTGATACTAAAGAAATGGTGTTTAAAG